ATACTTTCTGACTTTGATGTTCCGCTACACGCACAGATCGTTCTACTGATTATTAGTTCGGTATTCCAAAAGTTTGCTCTTTTATTTATATTTATTACTCACAAGACTATGATTTTAGCATCGCAACTTATGGTATTCCCTCCTCTACTTTATGGCAGAGAGCTCATAGGCTAGGAATAGATACCCCCAAAAAAGAGGGCCTACTAAATCTTGGACTGAAGAAAATCTAAATAACGCTCTGGAAGCATTAAGAACTGGAACTATATCTGCAAATAAAGCTAGTAAAGCATTTGGTAAGTACTCTTATTTGCTAGTGTAATTTTAAAAAGTGTAAAGCAGCATTCGTTAGAATGAGAACCATTTTCAACAGTCGAGACATATTATTAAAACAAAATGCCGTCTATTGAACTGCTCATATTCACAGTTCTGCTCTACGGAATGGAAGTGTGGACACTGACTGTTCTATGAATCGGCTCGAAGCTTTCGAAATGTGGTGTTATAGGCGCATCTTATGTATATCCTGGGTTGACAGAGTTACTAATGTGGAGGTCCTGCGTAGAATGGGGAAGAATGTGAAATTCTCATGACCGTCAAAACTAAAAAATTGGAATATCTAGGACATGTAATGAGAAATCAAGAATGTTACGGCCTTCTCCAGCTGATTCTCCAAGTGAAGGTAAATGGTAAGAGAGGACCGGGAAGAAGACGCATTTCCTGGCTTCAAAATTTACGAAAGTGGTATACCACGATACCACTGAAATGTTCCGCGCTGCAGTAAACAAAGTAAAGATAGCCGTGATGATCGCCAACATCCGGAACGGATAGCACTTTAAGAAGAAAGAGTAGTGTAATTTTCCAGGCTAAGCGTTAAAAACGTTCTTAAAAATTTTGAAATTTTTCTGTCTGAATCTTTTAGTTTTTTCTCCCCAAACCAGGCGTGTGTTTCTTGTACCCCCGAAACCAGTAGCAATCACGTTAATGACATCACTCAACTTCGCTTAGGCTAACAAATGTAAGCAAACGTAGTCTGATGAGCAAATGTAAGCAAACGGCCTACTGTTTGTTCGACTTTTTGATTCATGGCACAACAGTTAACTCCGACAGATATTGCGAGACATTAATAAGACTGAGACGTGAGATCCAGAGACGCCGGCGAGGACGATTGTCCAGCGGTGTGAGACTTCTGCATGACAGTGCTCAAACTCATGTCTGACATCAAACTGAACAACTGCTGAGAGATTTTGGCAGGACTGTTGTGCCCCATTCCCCCGCAGTCCGGACCAAGCATCAAGTGATTATCACTTAATCCCAAAATTAAAGGAACACTAAGTGGCTTATGCTTACGTATTTGCTTATAAGACTTATAAAATAATATAATTAATCATCTTTGTAGGCATTCCCAGTAGCACCCTGTACAAAATAGCGAGAAGAGAAGGAATAAGACTGGCAGCACCTTTCAACGCGGCACCGCCTACTTGGACACCTGAAGACTTAGAAAAAGCCTTAGAGTCCATAAGAACGGGCCAGACGTCTGTACAAAAAGCTTCAACAGAATTTGGCATCCCCACGGGAACGTTATACGGTAGATGCAAAAGAGAAGGAATAGAATTGTCAAGGTCGAATCCCACGCCTTGGTCTGAAGATGCCATGGGAGAAGCTCTAGAGGCCGTTAGGTAAGAAATTTTATCTTTGCAGATAAGTTAAATAGTAAACTCTTAAATAATGGGAAATCTGCAAGAAAGAAGAAAATCTTGCAGATTTCCCAATATTAAGAGTTTACTACATAAATATATATATATAATATAAATATATATATATATATAAAATATATATATATATATATATATATATAAATATAAATATATATATATAATATATATATATATATATTATATATATATAATATATATATAATATATCCTAGTCATTTCATTCTGAACTGCGAAAGTTTTCGTTTTCACTTACACCTACCTACTCAGGCAAGAGTAAACTTTCCGATTTTAACTATTTGAACATATATTTCATTTATTCACATATGTCACAGTATTATAGTGTTACTATAGCTACTACTTCTTAAATAACCTCTGACCTCTCATACATAATGTGAACGCAGGTGTTTGCCGGCATGTGCGCATGTGTCAGACGAGTTCATTCTTATTGTTCCCGATCTGGAGATCTCTAGAGGCATAGGCGAACACTATTTAGATTTTAGGATCAGTCTGAAATAAATAGTGTATCGTCAATTCGCCAACTCGTAAATAAACGTATATTCTAAATTAATTAGTTTTTAGTGTTAGTGTAAGTAAATTAAAATATTGTTAAAAATAACTGTAAAATAAAGAGTAAATAGGTGTAAATCATTAATAAATAACTAATAACATGGCAACAGTAATGTAGCCATACAGAAAAATTTATAAGAATTGATAATAACACTTCGTAAAATTCGAAAGAATAATCCATTAATATAATATTACATTTTAATGTTTTTAAAAAGTTTTTATAAAAGTAAATTATCAATCAGATAGACGTATCCAAGATGAAATTGATAAAATACTAGTGCACGAAAAAGCGATGGAAAAATAATTTGACAATTTATTAAACCAAGAGTTTGACAGAAAACCAGTTAAAATAACGGATACAGTAACCTCAATGGTTGCTAAAATATTAAACGAAGAAGTTATTCAAGCACTACAAAAACTAAATTAAGTAAAGCAATTCCCGAGATGATATTCCTGTAGAAGTATGGGCAGCTTTAGGAGAGACGGGATAAGTTGTTTAATACAATTATTAAAATGGGATAAATGCCATAATGAGTAGGAAAGCAGTATATTAGTATCTGTGTACAAAACAAAGGAGATAATGCATATAAACTATATGCATAAACAAAAAATTAGTTTGGCTTAATCTAAGCAAATAAACAGATGCAAGGCTTGGAGGTTCTGTGGTGGTTGCTCGATAGAAAGGATGCCCTCGTGAGTATGTGAAAATTGTAATAGGTGTATCATGGAGTAACAACTAGTGCTAGATAAAACCAAATGAATCAGGTAAAAGGGAATTTCAGATGACATTCCTTGGTTTGTAATATAATAGGTACGATGATATAGTGGTAGTAGGAAAAACTGAAAGAAACTTTAGCAAATACTGAATCACTGGAATGGACGTTTGAATAAAATACTAAAAAGTTTAAAATTTAGTAAGATTCTAAAATAGAGTATCTAGAATTCTCCTTTAAATTAAAAATTTATTTAAAATCCTTTATAAAAGGTACTTATATAATTTAAAAACCCAATCGGCTATATCACAAAATGTTTTCGAATCGATATTCCTTCATCGGTGTCCTAAAAAGTATATAACCACTTAATTAAAAAGAACGTGAAATTTAAATTTTCTCCAAGGTTAATACAAAATGTGTTAAATCCTTACTAGGTGTACATGTATTGAGCCACTAAATATCTGAGTAAAAACCCGTTAAAAATTATCTGTTTAAATTTAGTTTACATTATATGGTAGTACTATATATTAGGATGTTAAAGTTACCAGTGGATTTGGTAACATGGCGACGTATGACTCCACACAACTTGCTGTCCTGAGTCGAAGTGTCTATGAGGACTTGATGATAGCAACTGATTGAAATGACAATCTTGACAAGTTAGGACGGAAGTCCGAACAAAGCAGTCAGTGTTACTTAATGTGTTAGTCTACTTAAGACAGAAGCCAACGCTATTTAAAAGTTGAATAAGTTGAAATTAAAATAACTACTAACCACAGTAGCAACCATCAATGTTGTAGTTTTAGATTGTAAATTTGTTCTGAATTTATGTTAAGAACATGGAGAAAATTGTTTTATTGACTTCTTTACAGACTTCTTCTCAGAACATTTTGCACCATATTACAAAATTCCAAGCAACCCTTTGACACCCAGACTGTATGGTTACCTAAGATACACAAGAGGGCATTCCTATTTGTCCAGTTATTAGTTTCATAAACATTCCAGTTTCCATCCTATCAAAATTTATATTGAATCTTATTAACAACATGACGAACTTTACCCCTCGGTTCTCAGTCAAAAATACTACTCATCTAGTCAATAACCTACAACACATTAATCTTCAATCTTCATTTGATGTTAGCAATCTATTCACCACTGTCCCTAAACAAGAAACAATTAATCTAGTTCACCGTTTTCTCTCTTTCATTGCTCAAAAAGCTCAGCATACTTTAATGGTATCTATTATTCAGACAGATTTGCGCCTGCTCCTGCTTTTGGGTCATGATTTACTTAACCAATGTTGCTAAAATGGGTCCTGTTAAGATAATCGCGACGAAACCTCACCCTAATTGGCGTTTGCTGTAGCTAAAAGATCTTTTGGATGCTGATTATAGTTTTGATCGTCCTGTATATTATATGAAAAAATATTTAACATCTCTTTTTATATAAGATCAAACTTACTCTATTGTTAAATTTATTTTAATTTAAAGCGTAGTCGAAGTAGGTAATAAAAATAACTCATGCATATGCCTTTAATTTTTCAGGTTAGGTCACATGTCCATCAACCAAGCGGCCATCCACTATAACCTGCCTTATCCTCGCTGTATGGACGCTTCAAACGAGGCATCAAATACGAGGCGGATACCATAGATTATTGTGGATCTAAATCAAGACAGCCACCTGCAAATGGAACATACATTTGGCATGGAATATACTACCTCTCCATCACAGATTCAATATCAAAACCAGAATAGCTGAGATACGGCCTTCAACTTCGACTGCTTTTGAGAAATAGATCCAGAGTAGATTTATTTTTTGAGGTTGGATGCATTTTGTTATTGATGTAGAAGTAAATAGTTTTGGATAATATTGGGTATATATAAATATAAATTTGTTTTATAGTTTTGGTTAAATATTTTACTACAAGAGCAATTAAAACGTATATCTTCTATCACCATTATATCTACAAAAATTCAGTGATAATAGTTTAGTTAAAATAAAAAAAATTTAGGTATGTTAAGATTTGAGAACATGTAAGCAACATTTATTGTTAGAAGAGTATTTTACATGTTACAATTACATGATTCCGTCAGTAGCTTAACATCATAACCGACTTAACATACAAATTAAAAAAATGAAAAAGAATTAACATGACTTAATTATTAACGATTAATGTCACTATCAACATAAAAAAAGACAGGATACTATGTTCTTTTCTTTGTGTTGAACATGTAATCAAAATTTTTGAGCTCCTATTTCAATTTATTTTTTACTTTTTCCTTACTAGTGTTAGCTCTATTCCGTGTTTACTTTTTAAATATTTTTCTAATGAAAAATTTCGCTGCTAGTTGTATATTAGTGTTATATAGGGAACATATTACCTTTGTTGTTTGTACCTTGTTAATGTTTAGCCTTTTTACAATTCAAAGTTATTGCTTTTTATTTTCTAATTTTGTATTCTGAAATATTGTTAAATCTTTTCATCGTGTTATAATAATTTTTGATCCATAACAATGTTTTTATGTACATATAGTGTCGAAAATGGGACCAGAGAAAGACAGCAGTTTTTTTTAAGTGGTTGTTTGTTCATCTATTTAAATATTAATAGAACACTTGTTTATTTAACAACAAATATTACACAAAACAAGACAATTTTTCAGTCACAAAAATAATTGTTTTTGAAAGTTCCTGTAGAAAATGACAATGAAATTATTGGTAATAATTTGTATCGATAAAATTGATTTACGTAAGTTTAAATGCCCTTGTATTGATGCTCAAGCTAGCCAAAAAATTATGTCTTTAGTTGTAGATTGGTTTTGTATAATTTTTATAAAGTTTACTTCTATATTCAAATGAATTGTTACAAATGTCACCTCAATTTAAAGTTAAGGCTCGTTCCAAACAAAAAATTGTAGTAGGCAGAGTTTATTACTAATTTTTTTCATTTTTTATTATATTTCTGATAAATATAAAGTATGTTAGTACAAAGTTGAATTTGTTTTTTTTTTTGTTTTTGGGATATTTTTAGATTTTCTTCGATCATTTTCTAACACAAGGGTATTGGCTGTTTATATACATTATTATCTATTTATACAAATAAAACCGCATTAACAGGTAAGAGTGAATGAACTGAAAAAATTCAAAAAAGTCAATACACTTTTTTCTTGGATTAATGAAGTTCCCCTGCCAAATATAAATGAACTTAGAAAATGATAGTTTCAAGATATAAAATATTCAGATGAAATATTTTTAACGTGAATACAGGGTTGGAATGCAAGAAATAAATAAAACCCAGATACATTTTGCATCGAAGCAAATGTTGAATAGTGTATTTCATATTTGGAGAAAATTTGTCTATTTTTTTTAAATCTTAAAACGATATTTGGGACACGTTAAGATTTGGACAAAAATATAAATACAAAAATGATGAGTGTCTGCAGTACGATTTAAAGTAAGCTTGCAACTTTAGGAAACAATTTTATACCAGTTAAGAGATTATCGCCTGTATTAAGATATATTATGTTATAAAAGCGGTACTACGATTATTGGTGGTACTACTATATAAGTAATTTTATTAATAAATCGTGGAAGAACAATCAGTGTGTGATTTAAAAAAAAATGTTATTGTAAAATAATTAATTTTATTAAAAATAATACTGAAGAATTATAAATCCAATCAAAAAGATAGGTATAAAGACATTACTTTAAAATAAAATGTGAATTAAAAAGAATATTAGCACAATTTGCTGGCGATATATGCTCTCTTGCAGCAATAAGTAATACTTCGTGGCCATAGGAAAAAGTTTCACCTTAATTGATGCTGATCAGGCATCTGGATCAGATATCTGATCGAAGACACACTAACGAGAGGAAAAAGCAGGATTCTTAAAAACATTTCATACTTCGAAGTGGTTACGCTACGTAGCGCCACCTATTTTGAAGTAGATACCAATTTATAATACGTAAAATCCCGTAAATACCTGACTATATGCTGTTGTCCGATGCTAACGCATATTAAAATGATAGTGGGAGTCTCAATAGCTCCCATCGAATCTAAAAAATGAATTAAAACGTAGTAAAAACCTACTATTGCCTTTTAGGTGGCAGTTTCTGGGGTAAAAATTAAAACGGCTGAACTAATCCAAAAATGGAAATAGTAGAAGAAGGACAGAAAGTTGCTAGGTTAAAATATGACTGAAGGATACATAATAAAAATTCGAAAAGGTTCAAAAATATATATAATATGCAGAGAAGCAAAAAGTATGTGATCAATTAGAGAAATTATTCTTTTTTAATGTATTTATATTTTGTTCCTTAATTATTTTCCTAGATGACATACTATTAAAATTTCTACGCTATTAGGAATCGGGCCTTAACTAATAAAAGCAAAAGAGTTTGAAGGGACTTTTATATAAAAAAATGTTTAAATTACCATTAACTAGGCTGTTGTGCTAAAATTAACTAAGATTGTAAAATTTTACCATTATTTTTAATGAACTTAGAACAAATTTTTGCCTTGTCTGACGATTTACACAAAAAGTGAATTAATACTAGAGGTATCATTGCCTTCCACAATTTTCGTCCACTTGACGTAACAAAAATATTAAATTGTTCATAGTAGAATTTTCTTTGTAAATAAAAGAATGAAAATGTAGCGATAATGATCTTTACCATTTGATTAAACGAAATATTTTCATTTATAACATTTGTATATTTTAATAAATTATATTGTAGTAAATAGGTACGCTTACATGAAAAAAACATCAATCAAAATTCGTTGACAAACCATGACATAACTTTACTTCGGTACCTATATTCTTAATTGGGAACTATTTATATTTAGGTACTTCAGAAGCTACGTTCTTCATTGGGAACCATTTATATAATCCTAAAATAAGCAAAGAATACTATAGTACTAGCTGAACTATCTGAAGACATCTAGATTTACTATCCATGTACTTTATTCAAATAGCTTATATAAAAGGTTGACTAAAGAGTGCTTGGCCTGACAGTGACAATTTTATTTTTCAACATAATCTTCTCTAATATCAATACATTTCATTTAGCTGTGTTCTAATCCCTTCTCTGCAGTGTTCCTCTGGAATCCCGCTAAGTACTCATCTACAGTAGCAAAAAGTGCTAAGCAGCGGAGAATGTTTAAAAGTTTTGAGAATAGATATAAGTCCGAGGGAGTCCAGTCTGGAAATTGGTTAAGCACTTCATAATGCAGATCCGAAACAAAGCTTGTTCCGAAACAAATCCAGTTCAATAGTTGAAAAATGATTACCTGTTTTGATTCAGTCTGACAAATAGCAAAAAGCATTTTGTAGAAAGTGACTTGCCGTTTGTGATCCGCATTGACCATACGCACCTATCTTCCCAACTCCTTTAAATCTTCAATTCCTGGTGCAAGATTTGAAGAAGAATTCCCTGCATATCCTCAGAGTATGGAGTTTCACGCACCTTTATACGCCGATCTTCCAAAACCATAAAACACTTCTTGATGATTTCATGTGTGGTTAAAGTTTTTGGACATCAACTACTGACTGGATACTAGGCCGATTGTCTTAGTACGTCTAAGGATTATTTCTTTCAAATTTTTTGAAAATCTACTAATTCCTATAAAGCAAATAGCTTTTATTCTGTATCTACCAAATTAAGATAACTAATTGTATTACAGTTCCAAAAACATTTGTATCAATCGAGAGTTAACATGAAAATGTTATTATTGATGATTTTTAATAAGATATTTTAAAGTTGTTTTGATCGATATAATCAAAATAAAACTATAAAAGTTAAAGAACAGTTTTAGCTGTTAGATTTGTCTTGTATGTTTGTCGAATAAAATTAACCCGTTGTAGAGCTGCGACTGATAAAGAAAAACTGCTAAAGAAAAAAAATTCAAATTTAGTATTAAATATATGTGAAAAATTACAAAACCCGAAGTTTTCACTTAAATTTCGAGAGAACTAAAAAATATATATTAAGTCTTAAACTGTGATAGGTATCCTGCTTTTATAATTATTGCTGTGGCAGCATTGAATTTCCCACTATAATTTTTAACTAAAAGTCTTGTTCAATTTGAATACAAACAAGTTTGGAAGCTGTAAGCTAATTTTTTTTCAACAAATTCAAAATAAATTTCAATTATTCAATTCATATTCACTCGGATTATCGGATTCAATTTCATAAATTAACACGATTAAAAAATAATTACTCGATCATACATTTTCTAAACCAAATATCGTAAATCAAAAAAGTAAAACAAAGCTGACGTGATTTATGATACGTGAAATGACGTATTTTCGCCACAATTACCGGAGTTCTTCGACTGGTGAAAATTACATTCGCGAAGAATAAGCAGTAAGTAGCCCATATTAACTACTACAAGTAACTAAGATAGATACTTATTGTTGGCTATTAAGACATACTTGTGCCATGATTTACTTAACCAATGCTGCTAAAAAGATACTTTTTAAAATCTGTGCGAAGAAACATTGCATGTTCATTCTGTACATTATCAATATAAATCTAAATGTAGATGTAGAATGTAATGAATAGCTAAAGCCAGAGATAATGAAAGACTACGTTCAAACATTTTCATAGATAGGAATTATGATTTTATCATATTTTCAAAAAGAAAGTATCGGCAATACAAACAAAGCTGTTCTTATGGATTATGGCGTTCACTTACTGCCATTATGGGAAAATGGTAGTTAATACTTTTAGATCAAAAGTACAATTTACAAAAAAGTTGGTCCTGCAGTTCTACGCTGTTTGTTTTTATAACGCATTCGACTTCAGCGAAATCTTTTGTAGGACAAAATTATGAAACCGTAAATTTTCATCCAGTTCGGACAAAAAGTAGAAAAACACATCGAAAGCTATTATAGCTAGAGATTGTGTATTATAACCCATCTTACGTGAAACTGTGATTTCTGAGTGGTTAAGGTGACCGAGTTAACCTCTATTGGGATTTGCCGCAAAGGTTTGAATTCTGTTCGATTGACGTGTAATATTTTTGACAAAGTATTTATTTCCCTAAAATTTTATAAAAGTTATTATTGGTGCCTCTTGGTATTACCTTAATATAAGATTATTGAAATAAGCTACAGATTTTCAGTATTCAATCTTTAACGGGAACTAGCTTAGATTACGTACATATTTAGTACCAAACTAAATTAATGTATTAAATATCTGACGTTGTTGACTGGAGCGTTAAACATAAAGAAAAAACGGGTCTTATCAATTCTGACCGAAATGATGATATAATGTAATATTTAGATTGGTTTTACAATCTTAGACGTTATTCATAGAATTGTTAGAAATAATAAGACACATTTTTTAATTAAGTACTGAACAAAACAGGGAGAACGGGAAAGAAGGAAAACTACTTTTACAATGAAAGAA